ATGAACACGAAGTCGTCATGAACTCAAGTAGCCACGGAAACTGGGGTACAGAGGTAAAAATCGTTTTTGCTACTTGGTTATGTATCTCTGAAAAAAAATGGAGCATTTTCAGGTACGACACAACAATCCTCTCCACCATGGCGATCATTTCCATTTACACATCAGTGTACACCAAAATCACTACGAAGTTTGCAATTTTAAGGAAAGTTTTATTTTAGGGGAAGTAATCGAATGTTACAGATCCAAGTAAATGGCCATCATCTAGCTGATTACGTCCACCGCTTCCCCATGGAATCTGTGCAAGGTCTTGGTCTTAAAGGAGATGTCAAGGTTGAGAAAGTTGATTTCTCGGGATTCCACTTCAACATTGGTACGTAGGGTAAATAGTATTTGTTTTAACTATCTATTAATGTCTTTGCTTACTCATTAGGTATTCTGAGTTACGAAAACAAATGGAGGCTCGGTTATACCATTTTTTCCATTCTCGCTCCTATTCACATTTAATTTCTTTGAAAAATGTTGCAAAGAAAATTAATTCACCTTAAATACATTAGTTTTCTTCAGACTGGAACAATCAACACGACTTCGGACACGCTGGATACAATTCGTATGGAACTGAACACTATCAGCCACCTACGGTATGTGCACAGAATCTGGTTAATAAGCTTAATTATCGAGAGAAAGTGTTCGAAGTTGTAGATGTTGGTACACTATTTATTTTATGAGATCTCCTGCAACGCTAGTCTTAGAATGTTTGGTGAAGGAAGCAGTTTTTTGCTTTTGCTAAGGCACTGTAGCAGATAGCAGTAACCTAAACTCGCTTTGAATGCTCCCAAGAAAATCTCTTTTGAAGCTAGCTATATAATAACAAGCAGTGTTATTTTTCGATTATAAAACAAAAGGCTCCAATGATTAACCAACCTTGTATAGCTCTATCTCATAGTCGCTTTTATTAAAACATTGTTGAGATATTCATAGCATTTCAGTTCCACGAGACTCATGCATACAACGCGTACTTCTGAAAATGTCATCCACTAAGGACTTAGCAAGTATATAAATTTTTATGAAGATTCTGTACATTTTATTATAATGTAATAAAACAATTTTTAAAGTAAAGATAATTTGCTGTTCTCATTGTCCTTTTGCAACCAGATTATAATGAAAAAGGAAACTGTTGAAAGCCTAAGAGAGATGTTTCTCGTATAGTCAAATAAGTTAAATAGGCATGAGAAATGAACTCATAAGATATAATCTACAGGAAGTTTAAATGATATGTTACAATTCAAAAATTGCTATTAATCTTATTGCTCGTGTATATAATCTGAGCTCATGCTGCAATTGTAGAGTGAGCTGTGGTTGGCGCTCTAATTTTTAATATTGAATGAGCAGCTTCCTTATATAGAATCTAAGTCTGATAATTTATCAAGACAACGGTACCATAAACAATAAGTTTAAGCTTTAGCAGTTCATACTTTAATTGTGTGTTAAGATAGTTTGCGCGTAGATATAAGTACTTATTTTGTGTACCTAATCGGCTCAAAAATAATGAATGTCTAAATTAAAAATTTCCATGGAATCGATGATATCATTTTAGCTTAATAAAGTACTGAAGAGAACAGAGTCGCTGGACCTCCAATCCTTATTTTAAAATTTTTCAAAAAAAAGGTTCTCGGCAGAACTTGAAGAATAAACCTAAAACTCAGGCTAACCAGAGCTGAGTTGAAAAAAGTAATGGTTCAATGTTAGGATAACGCTTCGATTATATGGTTTAAACTGAGATTGTCTAGGCATATTTCGTTTACAAATTCAGCCTCTGAACTGTAAAGCTTCAATATGATTTCAAACAAAATACTTCCCTCTCTTGCAAATTACAGACTTGTTTTACCGCTAATCAGTCACTTATAATGAAGTACTATATATATCATCGAAAGTTCATAGTTGATCTTTCAAACTATAGCAGATTCACAAAACAATCCTGATAAAGCATTATCAGCTCCGACAAGACTTCTCTCGATTCTGCTGATAGTAGCGACTTCGATTCTGTGTAGCCTGGCGCTGAACTGAACATAAGATAGCACGTTTAGGGAGCAGACCTCTCGGGGCAAAAGATGCAAATTTAAAATTGAGATTGGTTTTAATTTTTTTGGTAGGACTGCAACTACAACAAGAATAATAAAGATATGAACTCCTCTTTTCATCTTTTGGCATCTCATGTTATCGTAAAATTCACCCGAGTTCAACTTTTTGTTTATCAATGTATAGGAGTAGTTTCTAATCTACTCCAATCTGCAAATCTTTAGCATCCAGAAAAGAGACAAATATGCTGGTTGAAATGATGAAAGAGTTTTCATAATTTGTACGTGTTTTTTAGAATGCGTTCTTTGCTATACTGGCTCATTTGTTCGATACGCTTTGTAAGATTAGCGGAAAAACTTCTTGCCGCGTGAAATGTAGCTGTTAATTGCTTGTTCTACATGTCTGATCAAGCGTATCTGGGCAGTCAGCTAGTCAAAGGATTTTACTTGTTATTTGTTTAATTTTCGTGAAGGTCTGGTCTATTTGAAATTGAGGACAATGTGGACACTCAGTATGTGCACAACAATCAAATAGTTCAACCTATGAATCTATAGAAAATGAGCTTTAAAATGGATCCAGACAATGGCAGGGTACCGTTAAGACAGTTTTCAAAAATTCTTCTCAAATCTCCACACACTTCCTGGCTGCTTATGTATTTTCAGAACAACGACGCTTGAACGCTGAAACATGGTCGAGTTCTCATAAACATTGAAAAGGCTGCCTTTTGGCTATTCTTACCAAAGGTGCTTCTAGTCTGAAGTTTCCAACAGACTGTCGTTTTGATAGAGTCTTATACCTGCACTT